GGAAAAGGGGGGGTGGGGGGGGGAAGGGGGGGGTTGGGGGTGGGGACTGCTGCAATAAAGGGAACATGTTAAGAAAAATGGAACTGTGTTTCGAGTTAGTTTGAATCTGCTGTGTGAAGCACACAACACAAAGCAGAGGAGATGTATGGAATCACTTAGCCCACAATGTTTTACCCTCCTTTTTTTCTGACAAGGAAATCTTTCTGCAACCACAGAAGAAAAAGGAAACGGCGTGCTCTTCTTTTTTTTTTTTCATTGTCTGTTTTGTATTCTGTTCGGAATAAAAGCAATTTGAGAGTCGCTCCAGCTATTGAATTATTTAGATACAACTTAGCACAAACGCTACCAACAGAAATTGATGATATCCATCTCAGTCAGGCAGTAAAGAATGAGGCGCACCTGTAGCTGCCATGGCCTTTGGCTTCAGCGATCCCACTGGCTGCCAGGACTTCCTGTTGGATGCCGTGGTTTTGTGGATTTCTTGTCTTGTTTTAGTGACAGAAGATTATTATTAAACTACCTTTGTACATTACATTCGCAACCAAAAATGAATAGCAATGAAAAATAATATGAATACGACAGCAGATCTTTTTTTTTTCTTTTGTTTTTTTGGCCTGTGGATTATTTAAAACTTTAAACAGATTTCACTGCAATGCCTTAGAAAAAAACAAAACAAAACAAAAACATGCAGATTATTCCATTAAATGTAAGTGCAGTATTTAGTGTTAGTAATCCACTCCATCACACCTTTTTCCCTGTTCTTAACTGTAGCTCCTTTGTGGGGTTTAAACCAAACTCTTAAGGCTTTGAGCTACATCAGAAGATGGTAAAAACCTTTCAGAGAATGAATTTAATTATCCTTGAATAGCTGCACAATTCCCTCGTCTGTTAATGTGAAAATATAGAAAACACAGACGTCTCAGAAACAGGATAAAAGACAAACACGGAAATTGGTGCAATTTTACAACACAAGGAGAACTAAGAAACTATTTCCACGTAGGCAACAGCTTTTTATTAAAAAGAAAACTGTAAATAGCAAATCAGAGAATTTCATGTTAGTATTGCGTTACTGCTTACTTGAACATTTCTGCCTGTCTGCCTGTCAACAAATAAAGGAACTGTCATCACATTTGTGAATATTCCTTTTGGGTGTCGTAAAGCCCTGAGAACTATATTGTATTTATGTACTGTGAGCAGCAGCCTAAATGCAGGAAATCTGTTTGACGGTGAAACTCTATGGTTTTCATTTTCCTGAAATGACTGGCAATTTCAGTATTTCAGTCTCAGTGAACTACACAAGTGACTCGTACCGGGAGCAGTTTCTGAAAAATGTTGTCGAGGGCAGAGCTGAGTGCAGATTAGGAAGTAACTGAGACGAAGTTCACAGTTTTACATAAAAAAAGTTAGAAAAAGTGTTAGTAGAAAAGCAACACTGGCAAAAAACACAACAACAACAAATAAAAAACAACAAGCAAGCTTTGATAAGCAATGTTTATCACTTTAAATGCTATTCAGTTTTCTTTATATATATGTCAACACAAATTGTGTTGACATATAAGGAATTTTTTTCATATATTCTCTAAGGAGATAAGTGATTACTTTCACTAATTTTGTATAAAACATTTAACTGAAGCATTTTTTAAAATAATTTTTCCTTTCCTTCTTATGATTGAACTGAGTTAATTAGTTAGTGTGCAGAGCACTGGGGATCCCGTTTCTTGATCAAAATGGGAAAGACGAGAAAACAGGCCGTTCAAGTGAGGCAGATGTGAATTGAAATTTATCAAAGTTAAGAAAAAAAAAGCAGCTTGTCTAAACAATTACTAAGTCTGAAACAAGTGGAGCTGCAACAAGGTTGGGTGAGGACTCAAATCTTTCTTGTCAGCTTGCACAATTAGGAGGAAAGTAACAGAGTTAAATAATGGAGTTTAAAAGAAACCTCTCCAGCTCACTCTTAGAACTGCAGCAGTGTTTTCAGTAAGAGAAGCTCCCACCAGGGCCGGCCCATTGCATAAGTTCAAGATGAGGTTCTGCGTTGTGCCCTCAGCACTGAGCTGCAAAAAATTTTGTACTTCTCATAAGGGATAAAAAATCTTTTTGAGAAATGTTCAGTAATTTTTAATCAATTAGAATATGTGTTCTAAGCCCACATTTCTGTATTAAAATGTTTTTAGTGGTCTGGATGTTTTCATGATCTGTAAATGAAAAAAATATATATAAGTAACAGGAATGATAATTGCTCTTATGATTAACCTGTGCCATAGTTAATCTATATAATATGCTTCACTTTGTGAATATCTGTGTAGCATTCTAATTTGCCAATTGTGACTGAATCTCAAATGAGCTACAAATAGAAATAACAAATCAGAAATAACAAATACGAAAGAACGTGAAACTATATTTTTATCTCAGACTAAAAAGAATCGATCAATATACTGGATCAGGCAGAGAAAGATGAATAACAGGTTGATAAATATTTTCCCTTTCATAATTTAATGTTGCTCATTTAGTTACACAGTACCTTCTATAAGCTCAATATCCTCATTTTATAGAAAATCTTATTTAAGGGTGGCACTTTCCAACTTTGTGCAATTTTAATTCCTGTTATGGCTGAAGGTCTGAACCATTGTTTCCCAAAAGCCCTTTCAGAGCATTAGAGCATTCATATATTAATAAATTACAGACTACACTCATTTCATTAAATTAATAGAAGGAATTGTGAATCTTTTGAATCTAAAAAAAGTGTATCTTTGTTCCACTTTATCTGCATGTTAAATAGAATCCCTTCCTTCCCCTTGACATCTTAAAAGGTTGTCCTTTGCAGATTGAGATTCACTTGATAAATGGTTATTGTTGAACCAGAGCAAAATATATATTGATCAAGAGTCATGACACAGTAGATTAATAGAGCCGTTGTTATTTTTTTGTTCCAGCCTGTCTGCGTTTTGATGCTCAGGGGAGTCTGCTGTCTTCTTCTGATGTCATGGATGCAGAAAAGATCAGACAATAAGCTAAATAAAGACGCTCTATTAAACCAGCAATTACCTCGCAAGGCTGAAATGATTTATTGCATCTTATTGAAGGTAAGAGCTCTGTGAGTGCCTCATAACTAGATTATAAATTTTAGTTTCCCCGATGACATAGCAGCAAACTGAAACACCACTTTTCTTCTTGTAAACTTTATAAGAACAGCTATTCGTCGTCCAGTAGATGCGGTTGTAACACGGACTTCATCAGTCTGAGAGAAAACAACAATACAATATCAAAAAAAAAAAAAAAAATCCTTTGAAGATTTCCTCGAGCGGATGGGCTTCTTGCACTGGGACTACTTTCAGCTGTGCATTGACTGGCAACTCCAGAGCCAGTCATGTCAGCTGTCGATCAAACTGGAAAAGCACAAAAGTCTGGCTCCCAAACCTCCACCAGTGTGTGCGGATCGCAGTGCGGGGCTACCAGGGGCCAACAACATTAAAGTGCCTGCTTCTGCTTTATTACCAGAAAGGCACAATAGCTCTGCCTGCCAAAACCCTTGTGAATTCACATTCCCTCCTAAATTAGATGTACCTGCAGACCGATGTGATACAATTAGGAGCTGATTATTTGTAAATCAAACGATGACAGCCTGACCGTGTGGCTGTCTGGGATGTTGTGGTCCTCTGGTACCCAATCCCCTGCCTCGGGAGAATGGTAATTGATTCCCAGGCCCCCCCTGTGGGAATGCTGCTCTGCTCGTCTCGCAAGGCGGAGATGCACAAGTGTCTCTGGTACTGGAAATTTCAATGAATACATCCATATTGTAAATTTCTCCACAGAGTTTTCAGGCAGAAAACTTTGGGGTGAAAAAAAAAAAAAGGTGGAAGGTTTTTATTGCAGTCGAGTGAGGGTGGAAAACAGAAAAATAATGCAATTAAGAGACAATAAACTTTAGCAGAAATGCATTAGTTTTTTTTTTTTTTTGGTGCTTTTTGGCAAGTGGCTTGACATTTAAATATGTGTTGCGTGTGGTTTTGGTAAGCGTATGTGCCGTTTCATCTGTACGTGTTTGTGGCCTGTGCCAAATCTCTGCCTTTTTCTGAAGCCTCTTTTAAAAATGTATGAGATGTTGAACCATTGTGTTTGTGTACTCACACCCTGACTTCAAAGGGTAACTGTGCATGTTAACCTTTACTTTTTAGTTTTTTATCTGAAGCACCAGCGCTTGCTGTAATGTGGCATCTAGATGCAGGTTTGCCTGTCCAAGTGTTAAGCTAATAACTGATTGATCTAAGGAACTCTATGTGGACAATTAACTCCTAAAGAAAAAGCCACATGTTAATGTGTTAATGCAACAACTTGTGGAGTCCACTGTCACCACATGCTTTCTTAGATTGCTGGACAGTCAAAGACTCCATGCATTCAAATAGAGTTCCTTAGATCAATCACCTATTAAGATTATATAGGCTCACTGTGTTATACCCGGTATCAAATGGAAATTGAATTTAAATTTGGTCTGATGTGTATCGATTGGTATACCAATTTGATTTGGTGCAACACAAATAAATACGTTCAAAATGAATTAATGCAGTAATCAGAGCTGAAATAGTAATATTGCATTTTCATTTCAATTGATAATAAGACAATCTGCCTCAGGTATCTTTTATGGTCAGGTGCCGTCACAAAAATGTTACAGTTTAACACAATAAACAAAACTATGATTTATTTATTTTATTTTATTTTTTTTTGTTTAAAACCAATTCTGACACAATAATTTGTTTCACATGAAAAGCAGAATCAAATGCAAGCAAGTCCAAGCGGCGAAATGCAAACAGTGACAGAGTAGAGAATGAAAGAGAGATTACAGAGACTGTGACCTGAGAGTGTATCAAAACAGGCATCTTGTGAGAGCACTCCAGCCATCAGTTCGAGAGCTAAGAGAGTGCTTCATTGAGGATTAGGTCCTTTAGAATCACTCATCCACAGATCTCAGCCAGTATTCCCAGTGAGACTGATTATCTCGGCCTGTCGCAGACACAGAGGATAATTACAGGGTCTCCCCGAGGTCACTGCTCCCACCATGCCCCACGAATGGAAATGCACTGCTGAGCGAAATGCCGGCAATGGCAGGGGAGGGATACAGGTTATTCTCTCTCACCTGCATGCACACAAACAAACCAAAAATGATTCCCTTAAAAAAAAAAAAAAAAAAAAAAAAAAAGGTACGGCATCATCTGCCTGTCCTCTCTGTCTTCATCTCAAACATTTCAGTTTTAATTATCACCGACTTTTTCCCTCTTTAAGTTTAAGTTTCCCGTCTGCCCCCCCACTGTCCACCCCTCCTCTTTGTTTTCTTTTGTCCTATTTCAGCTCTACCCCTCCCCCTAGTGGCAACTTTATACATTACATAATGATAACTTTACTCAGATAGCCCAAGCTAAATTTGCCATGCTGTCCCAGAACTAATTGCCACTACTGCTGGAGTGTGATAAAGATGTACAAGGATAGGAGGGGGAAAAAAATAGCTGGAGTTAGTTCCTTGGCAAGGACAAAGTGACACGGAAAGAAATCCTAGACCCTTTTCTGTCCCAGGGCCCCTGCAGAAACATGACACCAAAACCCCTTTTACATCCAAAATACAACTGCTTGCAGCAGAATGCATCTTCTTAAAGGATTTGCTGAAACATCTGCACATAAAACTGCAAAAAAAAAAAAAAAAGAAAAAAGAAAATATACAGAATTTCTAGAATTTATTTCTTGTTTTTATTGCATGAAGTGTGAGAGAACACACACATTAATGTACTTGTTGATGCAGTTATTCTGTTTTGTTAAGCAGATCTTAGCTTGATTGATTTGATAATAGTTGATACCAGTGAACAGAATTGTATCAATCATTCGACAAATCGAATGAAGTCAAAGCCATGGCATCAGTGTTGTTTTGTTCAGCATTGCTCTGACGGTGGCCCTCATTAATAAGTTATAAAGCTCAGACTTCTCCAGACTGGGTTGGGTTGGTGTTTGTCTTCAGAGGGAATCGTTATCCTTATTTGTCATGTAGTCTGACTTAAATTCTATAAAAGTCAAAGAAGAAGTAAATGGAGGTAAGCCAGAGGAAAGGCAAATAAATGAACAATACAATGCATTATTGCATTTAAATAAATAAATAAATAAATAAATAAAAAGATGCATCCTGCTCCGGTTTGTCCTCTGTGACACGCTTCAGAGACATTAGCAGCATTTAGGACCACTCCAGAGCCAACCTTATGGACCACTGAGGACCCCATCCGCTCTTCACCCTCTTATGTTGTGTGTGGCTACTTAATTATTGATGCTTTTGATTGATTGATGCTGATTTTGGTTTTCGTGCCGTCCCTGATGAATGCTCCGGTGAAGCGGATGGAGGTATTTATCTAACTCAGAAAGTAGAGCTCTATTCCTCATCCTGTCCGCGTGCGGCCAAGCCATCCCAGTGGATATGACCTCAGCATTGCAGCACAGAATTAACGTTCTCACACACACACACAGGAGTGTGTTTCCATTAACCACTGCAATTATGCTTCTTGTCAGTATACAGCCATTCATGACATGCAGGAAAAAAAAAAAAAAAAAACTCTATAAATAATACGACAAATATTCAAAATACTTCAAATATTTTCTTTTTGGGGAGTTTTCTCTCAGACTGGACTTGAAATGAGCCTTTATTACAGAATCGGGTCCCATTTTAATTCCCTCATTAGTGGAATTAGAATGGAAAATCTGTTAAACTAACAAAACTTTAGTTCAATCAAATCTACTTAATTCTTTGATTAGCTCAGTTTGCAGAACCGGAACATGGTGTGAAGACTCTAAATAACATGGACACTTTGCAACCCAGGCAAAGCTCAATGGCGCCCTCTTGTGCCTAAAGAACAACATTACAAAAACTCACAAACGTTCATCATTTAAAAAAAATGCAATAGACTTATTTTTTTTACTAAAAAAAGAACTAATTTAATGAATCAGATCATCTAATTCAACTGCCAATTAACCTTCTGCAACTTTTCCTATTTTCTGAGTCTTTTCTGTGATTTACTATCAAACTTTATTTACTTTTTACAACGTACTCACAGCTGAAATGAAAATAACTTAAAGCAAAACACTTTGATCCAGTTTATGCATTTTTTTCTGTCTGCTGACTCAGATGTTGACTTGCATGTTAGCTAGTTGGAGTGTCCACTTTGAAGAAATGGAGAAAATCTCCATTCTCCAGGAGATGAGACACTGAGGTCTCCAACTGCTAGTCTCAGAGCAGTTTGATAGATCTTATCAAATAGATCTAGTTACCCAAGCTGTAGCTCTAAGAAGGTGGAGGACCTCCAAAAACAATATTAGCAGTATTGACATCTTTAATGTGTGGCAAAGGTCTAATCCCAGAGGTCGGTGCACTAATGGGGAAATATTGAGTGTTGCCAGAACAGAGGTTTTCTTCTAATCTTTCCATTATGTGCTTTGGACAACCACTTTCAGCTGGGATGAACATACAGAGATGGATGGGAGATAATGTGATCAATCCGGATACAATAAAAGGGGTGATAACTCAAAGTCATTCACACTCTCCAATGACTAGCCTGTCTGAAAGAATACTATTAAATCGGGATCTTTGAGCCATTTCCTCTCTCAGTCTCTTTCTATGGTCTGCTGAGTGATCTAATCAATGCACTTTCCATCTTTTTCCATTTCATCCTTGACTTATTGCAATCCTTGTAAAGTCTTTTCTGTGCCTCTCAGTTTAAACTTTTATCTTCCAGACTTTACCAGAAATCAAACACTTTCACGATTCCTTCAGCTGCCAGTACTTTCTTTTTTTTTTTCTTTTCCAACACAAAGGTCGGTTGTGATGCATGACCAGTCAATAGGTTGAAGGACAGCAACCGCCATCCTCCGCTATTTAAACGTGAACACGAGTGCTACACATTTCCCTGACCATGGGGACTGGCAGGTTGGCAGAGACTCTCAGAGCAGAAATTGCAAAGACACATCCAGTTCTGCGATGCAGAACTAAGACACCGTCGCTAGTCTGTGTTTTAGCAACATGAAATGTTCTTTTTTCATGCCTGCAGCTCTATCAGAGCACCCTATCTCTCTTCCACATCCAGTCACACTGGTTTGGCACACCGGCTCCAGCAGCCAGCGGAGGGCACTGTGGCTGGTGATAACACACTGCATTGTCTGAGTTTATAACATGGTTGGCTGCGGTCTTGTGTTTTAACTCCAGCTCAAGTTGATTTTGGGCATGAAAGGTTTGTGTGG